GTGTACTCCTGGGCTTGAATCTAGGTCATATAGGCTTTGCACAAAGTTGTGACAATAAACTCGTTAATACGAGAGATGGAAGTCCTGTGTTCAAGTCGACGCTAAAGCATTCCAATGGAGTGAGTGGATAATGTAGAAGCCTCTTTAAAGTGGGGGTGGAGCAACGGAGTGGGTTTGGGTTCGGTTTTCGATCTTGAATCCGGGTGATATAGGACGGATTCCTATGGACAACGTGGTGGAAATACCCTACATCCCTAACCAAAAGCTTTAATTATCAGATCTGCACAGGCAAGCCTCCAATAATTGATAGGCCAGAGTTGTTAATGCGATAGAATACACGAACTATATTCAAAAGGCATACTAAGCCTCGAAAGATTTTAGAGACTTCTCATTCCTTACATTATATCTTCTTATCAAAATAATAAAATCTGAGAATGTGGAGGTTTGGTTCCGCTGTTCCGGAGTCTTTGATAATTGTTTCCTGTTGCAGATTTTTTTTCCTCTGGTAATATTTTTTTTTGAACCCAGGCACATCTTATCTTTTTATTAACATCACTTCCTTATTTTGATCTAACTTGTTTTAGATCTTTGGTGATTTAATTATATATTTTTGAAATATTTAAATCAAGATTTCTAGATCTTATTGTCACACACACGCGCACACACACACAAGCAAGACAAATACCCTGCTGCATTCGTCATTAAAGCACACAATGATATAACTCATATTCATATTCTGTGTCTTCTGACAAGTCAGATGGACAACTTTCTTCCCTGCCTTTAACGTTTCTTTTTAGAAATCATACATATAAGGTCAAAACAATTTAAACTGATCATAAGAGTAATATTGCTTCAAGCCCTACATGTATTACTTGTAGGTCTTTCGTTGATTATTTTACTAGAGAGAACTCATGCCCCATGCAAAACAACTGAATGACAATTTCGACCTTACCTCGTATACAAGACTCTCAGTACCAGTCAAGTATGGCAACTGCCCCAGAAAGTAGTAATCCCTATTACTGCAATACCCAGAACACCATAGAGGTTTCTGAGGATATAAACCAAGCCTAGATAAGTCAGAATAATGATTATTTAATGCAAAACTAAAAGAGAAAAATATATAGACAAGGTAGTTTGGAAGATTCACAAACCTCAAAGAAATTTAGAACAATTAAAGCAAAGTAGTTAAGAGCCCAGAGAAAATCAAATTGAATATATATGAAGTAAGACTTCAGAGAACTTCCAAAGCTCGATCGATCAAGAATTTCCTCAGGTATACCAATACCATCTTCAGCCTGCAAACATAAGGGACGTTTCAAATCATTATTAAGGGGAAAATGAAAAGCAGTGTTCGCTATAAACATTCCAGAATATTTTCAGGACAATGTTCCTCTCCAAGGTACTGGACTGATGAGGTGCTCATCCTATAATCTGCATGAAGTTGTCCTCTGATTTTTTTCATTATTGAAATTATGGGCCAGACACTCTACTTGGCATTGGCACAAGCCAACTGATATCAAGTTGTTATGAAGCCGCCACC